GAGGCAAGACCTTAAAGTTCCCATGGTGTGTGAATCTGTGGATGGGACGGTAGGGGAGTGTTCACCTGCCTACAGGTGAAGTTAGAGGAGAAGATGAGAACTTGAAGTCAGGGAAGGAAGAGGGCCAGCTTATTGATCTGATGGCTCTGAATTACTAAGAAGCGCTAGGGAAACGATATGTTCTGCTTAGCATCACAGGGAATGAATGTGTGATACCTTTTAGAATTGGATTCATCAAAAGCAGTTCCAGGTACTTAAATATGATTTATTTCATTGATTTGGAATATAGCACCCCAATCATGATCAGCAGAGTTTATTTTTTGTTGTTGTTCTTTTCTTTCTTTTTAAAAAACTTTTTATTGTGAATTGAGTGAAGGTTTACAGAGCAGAGATCATCAGTTTTACATTCAGCAAATCACATACTTTGCATCATTACATTGCTTGCAATCCCTAAGCAGGGATTTGTTGTGGTTGTTTTCCGTTTATTTCTTTATGTATTGTTTTCACTTTTTATTGTGATTTGGGTGAAAGCTTAGAGCATCTTCATTTTCCATTCAACAATACATACACATTTTGATTCATGACAATGATTGCAATCCCTATAATACTTCCTGTTGACTGTTTCTATTCATCCTTCTTTCCTATCCCTTCCTGCTTTCTGAGCTTTGTCCCTGAGCCAATGTTGCCCTTTGATCTCTGATGATTAGTTGTTCTAGTGAACACTTACTTCCCTGATGTTATTATTGTTACTTTATAAGGAGCTCTAGTAGCTTAGTGGTTACGTGGTTACAGATTGGGCTGCGAACTTCAGGGTCAGCAGTTCGAAACTACCAGCTGTTCTGCGGGAGAAAGATGAGGCTTTCAGCTCCCGTAAAGATTTACAGCCTCGGAAACCCTGTACAGGGTCGCTATGGGTCGGAAATGACTCCACAGCACATAACAACAGCATAAGCCTGGAAGTTGAGTCAAGAGATGGTGGGGTGTTGGTGGTGGTGGTGAAGTGGGTTCAGTTTCAGACTTGAAGAGTGACCAAGGGTAATGGTCTTGGGGTTCCACCAGTCTCTATTAGACCAGTAAGGCTGGTCTTTATGATTTTGAGTTTTGTTACACATTTTCCTCCCACTCTATCCAGAACCTCTTACTCTGATCCCAGAGTCCTGTAGACTAGGGTATGCATGGTCCATTAGTCCTTTGGATGAATTGTTTCCTCATATCTTTGATTTTCTTCACTCTTTTTGGCTCCTGATGGGGAGAGACTAACAGTTACACCTGAGATGACCTCTCACAAGCTATTAAGACACCAGTGACTACTTATCAAAAGTAAGCTGTAGAACATTATTTTGGGAGACTATGCTGCGATAAATAGGTTTGTCTAAGCTTCAAGAGAAAATACGAATCCCTAAAGCTGTAAGTTTTAAAAAAGCCAAAGAACACTTCAAAAATCTAAATCACAGTTTCACTGGTAAATATTAATATTGGGGAATTTCTTCTAAGCAAAAAATGATTGGTTAGTGCAAGGATTTAGCTTCACAGTGTTGTCTGTATTATGAAAAAATGGAAATAACCTAAATGTCCAACAACAGGGTAAATTTTTATTTATCCTTATACCAAAATAATATATACCTATTACAAATGATATTAGAGAAATAAGTTTTATGAACTGGAAATACACTCATTCTCTATACAAACAGACATGATTATCTGTAAATTAAAACACAGTTCTTGCTTTAAAGCATATTTTATATCTGTTTGCTTTCATATGATCACATTGGCCAATTTCTGAATTTTCCAGTGGCTGTGTCTTTCCCTCCCAAGTTCTGGGGGAAAACACAAGCATTATTCTTGCTACACAGAGAAGAGACTCAGGTGGTGGTAGTGGCTGTGTGCTGTTGTGTGAATTCTGACTCATAGTGACCCTATATAGGGTTTCTGAGGCTGTAAATCTTTTCAGGAGCAGAAAGCCTCATTTTTCTGCCTTGGAGTAAGGCAGAAAATTTAACTTCAGTAAATTTGAAGTTAGCAGCCCAGTCCATAATCCACTACCCTAGCAGAGCTCCTTCTACAACCCAGGAGGCACTTATTTCTGCTCTTCTTGCTCAGGTCTTTGCTCCTGTAAGAGGGTCCCCACTCCCATCTATTCCTGATTCTTTCCTCCCAGCCCTAGGGCCTGAGCATCTTCTGTCTTATTTAACACTTAGCTGAGCTCATTCCTTATAGCTCATTCTGCTTCCTGCCTCTCCTAGCTCCTGCACTCATTACTACCTGGGAGACAGTTCTGACCCATTCCTGCTGGTTCATGGGAACCAAGCTTGCCATCAGTCACAGCATTCAGATTTTGGTGCACCAGTATTGAATTAACCCATCCATTTCCTCTGGGGGATAGAAACAGCAAAATAACTGTCAAGTGGAACTATGCATCAGTGTGTCTATATATAGCTGTATCATTGCAACTGCTGTGAAGGGGCATGGGTGAGGGGAGTGTGTCAAAAGCAGCTCCGCCTGGAATTGAGATTTACCTTCTGAGTCAGCAGTTTTGGGGAGATGGAGGGAGGTCCCAACTGACCACAGTTTTGGAAGGAAAATAAACCACCCAGTCTAGCATTTCGGAGTACAAGTGAGGCGTGGTCTAGTAATCAGCCCAAGAGTTAAATTGCTGCTCCTAAGCTTCCCAATCCTCTGATAAGTCCCAAACAATTTCCCCCATACTGTCCCAAACTTCTGCAACCATGCCAGGGCCATGCAAGGTCGTGGAGGTGGCAGAAAGCAGGAGTGCCCAAGGCGGTCCCCCATCCCTACCCTAACTCAGCAGCCTAGGCTCCTCAGTATCCTTTTTCCTCCCTTTCTAAACTCAGCTATGGGGCAGTCCTAGGGATGAGGACTGAGAAAGGGGAGAGGTATCTCACTGGTTATTATTAGACCTTGGAGCAGGGATATCGCTGCAGAAAGAGGCATGATGCTTTACAAACATTCTCAATTTCTGTCACCACAACCCTGTAAGGCAGGACAGTTGTTTTGTAGTTGAGAAAACTGAAGTCTCTCGACAGATCACGCAAGCAGCCGTTAGGCTGGGATTTCCTCCGCCTGACAGCTCAGGTAGCACCTTAGGCAGTAGGCTTTCCACATCCTCTCCTGGCAGGTCAGTGGCTGGTGGGGGTCTCACTCCTCAAAAGGGGACAGTGTGAGGGCCGAAACCCTCCCTTCTTGACATCCCAATAGCAGGCTTGAGGAACCAAGCTGATTTTTCCCGGCTTCAATCTCAGTGTTCACCTTGAAAAAGGCGGCAGGTCCCCAGGCAAGCCCCTCACCTGCATTCGGGTGATTGATGTCCTCACCTGGGGTGGAGAGGGGAGAGGACTTTTGCTTCAGACTAACCAGCTTGGAGAACGGCGAAATGCGGAGTAACTGCGGGCCGGGGCGTTTGACTTTCCAGGACAGTTTTTCTCCTAGGCGAGCTGGAGTGGGGGTGGAGTGGGAGCAGACAAGCAGGGCTCGCGGTCGCCCTAGGGCAGAGGCGCCGGACCGGAGGGAGGGGGGTGGGGAGAGGCAGTCGCCCTGTACTTCCCCTTCTCCGCTAGCTGTACAACAGCCTGATTTCCCCGAAATGATGGGGCGGTGTCGGCCAATAGGCAGCCGTACGGTTCTTCGGAGGCGGGGCCGGGGAATCCCGCTAAGTGTTTAGATTTCTCAGCCGCTCCGCTTCCCCCACAGAGCGCGCCACTCCTTCGCCGAGGTAGGACGTGCACCAAAGCGGGACCAAGCCGAGTCCAGCCAGAGCCGTGCCAAGCCAAGGCCTGCCCCAGCCCGCGCCTCGCGACCCAGCATCCTCCGCCTTCTCCCCCTCCCACCCGGCTCGCACTCCCAGCGCACGCACTGCTGCGCTCCTCTCGCCTGGACCCTCGGGCACCGCCGCCGGTTCCTACCCGCTAGATAGGTGAGCCCGCCTTCGTCGCAGAGGGGGAGGAGGTGTGTGTGTGTGTGTGTGTGTGTGTGTGTGTGTGTGTGTGCAAAGACCAGTGGCGTCGAACAAAAGGCGCGCAGAGTACCAGGAAGTAAGGGGCCGCAAAACAGCGGCTGCAGAGTGGAGGGCGCGCGGCGTTGCCTGGGCTCCGGCGCGGGCTCGGGAGAGCGCTGGAGGGGCGGTAAGCGGCGGCTGCGCCGGGAGGGCGGGCCGTGTCGTGGACCGCCCACCTCACCGAGGTTGCAGGCGCCAGGCTGCTTTCGTAGATCTGGTGGCCGGGTATGTTCGTCACGCGCATCCACACGGCATGCCGGGGTCTTGAGTGGGCGCCCAGTGTTTCCAGCGCCGACTTATCAGCGTTCCCAACCTCATGCTCAGGACATAGACTTTCGGGCTCCCTGTGCCAGTGACAGGGGCGCTGAGGCTTGGTGTTCATAGTGGGAGGGGATCGTGACCTGCCAGGGCTGCCAGAGGAGGCGCCACAGGTGTTTCTTGGGCCGCTTCGCCTGGGAACGGGAGTTGAAGGAAGATAGAGGAAGCCAGGTCCAGAGGGTTAGCGTCCTGGTGTCCTGGTCTGCGCACTGGGCGCTGTGGCTGTCAGGGAGGTGTAGAATGGATTCTGTCCAAGAGGAAATACCCAGGTCGCAGGATTACTGCTTGTGCATTTGGGAAGGTGCACAACTAATGACAACGTAAGTCAGAGGAATTTTTTCTGGCTAAGATGCAAAAGAAGCTTCTCCGTTTCCAAAGTATTTGAGTTTGTGGAGAAAAGTTATGGTACTTAAAATATCTGTATATTTTGCAACTTTTTTGCACGCGAAGGCTAAAGGCATCATTCATGAGCATGTTTCCTTCCGGAACTGACTGGAAGGGAATGAAAGAAGGAGTCGAAGTTCTTTTTGCAGTTTATTCTAGTGCAGGTCCCCCCACCCTGATGGTTGTAATACCCAGTCAGAGGGCTCAGAGTGTGGGGCAGGGTAACGCTCAGGGACTGTTGAACAAATTACAAACCAGAGCTTGCTGTCTTTTCTTTGCAGCCAATATGCCCATCACTCGGATGCGCATGAGACCCTGGCTAGAAATGCAGATTAATTCCAACCAAATCCCAGGGCTGATCTGGATTAATAAAGTGAGTGTAACTAATGGGATTTTTTCCACCACTGTTTTAATCCATGTTCTTTGGGGATCAAAGCTTCAGCTGCAGTTCAAAAAGGGAAGTGATGAGGAGACAGGCAGATGTGTTTCCCAGTGGGTCACACTTGCAGAGAGGGTGTACAAAGTCCAGCCCTGGGCCCCATTTGGCAGACTCCTGCCTTCCTACTTTTTGAGGTATGGACTTTTGAGGGCACCCATCTAAAGGCACTTAGAGTCTCCAGCAGCAAGAGCCACTCAGCATCTGCAGAGCTGGCCTTTCCTGAAGGAGACATGTACACTCAGGTTCGCACACACACAGCATTTTATAGGGCCCCAATCTGGGCAGTTAGGAGACAGAGAGGTGGCCACTGCTTGACAGAAAGGTGGGGGTAGCTTACAGGAGTCCCAGGAATGACCCTTGCTTTAGTTGCCCTGACCTAAGACATGATAGCTAAAGCACTTAGGGCAGCGGAGCCCCTGCACATTTGGTAGTAGTAATAGTGTGCATAATGCTAGCTAAGCATCACTGGAGTCCTGGTGTGTCACTGCAGGTTAATGCGCTGGCCTTCTAAGTTGGCGGTTCAAGCTCACCAGCTGCTCCTTGGAAACCCTATACGGGGTCACTATGGGTCAGAATCGACTCGATGGCACTTAACAACAATAACAACCATCACTAAATACTCACTAGGTGCCTGCTACTGTGTTAGTATGTTACTCGATGCCATTTAATCCTTAAGAATAATAGTCTTGTGAGGTAGGGCCTATTAATATCCCTATTTTCAGATAGGAAACTGAGGCATTGAGAGATAGATAACAGATCACACATAAGATGATAAAGCCAAGATTTGAACTTGAGCAGTCTGACTCAGAAATCCACACTATTAACTACCAGTGGTGGTTCAGGCTCACAAGCCTCTCCTTGGAAACCCTATACAGGGTTGCTATGAGTCGGAACCCACTAGACAGCACATAACAACAAAAAATGATAACAATGAGACCATAGTCTTTATTTTGGTCACTATGTCTCCATGTCACAGATGATTTTATACTTAAATTTTTTTTGGTTTTGTTTTTACACAGATTTTTTTCTAATTTCACAAAAAATTGTGATGGGCAAAGACAATGTCAGGATCACATAGATAAGTAGTTAGCATCCAAGTCTGGCCCAGGGACTCCCTTAGAGGTACAGCCAGGATCCACTGTATAGGAGCCATTTGGCCCAGGTGTACTGAGCAGCCCCTTGGGATGGAAATTCTCACCAGCGTCTTTCCATGTTAATGCTGACAGAAGCATTCATAACTTCCAAACCAGGACTATAGGGGAGGGTGCTCTGTGGCTCCCAGCATGCCTGTACTAAGCAGAGGGAGGTCTTTGCTGATGGTGCCATCTCAGAGGCTGGATTCTAAAGTCCCTCCTGAGAGATCTAGAGTGCTAGATAGAGAAGCCAAACCAGATGGCAGGGTGAAAAGAGGAAGTTAGCCTTTCACCAGACCTGGGGGCGCTGGGCAGACTCAGATGCAAAGGTTGTGGTCTCTAGACTTGTGGTGGCTGAGAGCTGATGGCAGCCTGTGTGTGTGCTGTCCAGGAGGAGATGATCTTCCAGATCCCGTGGAAGCATGCTGCCAAGCATGGCTGGGACATCAACAAGGACGCCTGTCTGTTCAGGAGCTGGGCCATTCACACAGGTGTGTATGCCGGACTCAGCCTGGGAGCAGTTGGGCAGGAGATAACAGAGCTCCCTGAGCTCCCTGAGACTGTGCAGAATTGTGTTTGTGTGGGTGGGAGTAGACCTGTATTTCTGGGGAGAGAGTGGACCCACCAGACTTCTGAGGTCAACATCTAAGACAGAGCAACTAAAACAAGTTGATGACTGAATGAAAGTCTAACCGGACAAAAGCAGCTGCAAGCCAGGACACTGGCAAAGATCTAGACTTTCCTTTTTCTTGAAATTGATCAGGGTCATTGGTCTGTCTACTGGCTTCCTTTCTTCCTTGGCCCATCTCAGACCTATCAATAACTCTGTTGCTCACTGTGGCCCCTCTCATGTCTGGAAATATCAGAAAGGCCCTAGTCGCTATCCTCTGGCTACTGACTGTCAAGCATGGAGACTGGGCATGGTCCAGGACAAAGAAGCTTTGGGGATAAGGGTTCTGACTGGACTCTTCATTGAGGCTTGCTGGATAGACTTGAGCCAAGCCTGGCCATTTGAGAAGCCTATGATGTGCTGCTGTAGGATAAACACTGGGCTGCTAACCTTACAGTCGGTGGTTCAAACCCACCAGCCACTCCTTGGAAACCCTTTACAGGGTCACTATGAGTCAGAAGTGACTGAATGGCTTTTACCAACAACAACAGCAGGAGCCCAAGGTCTGCAGAATGTCACCAAGAATACCAGCTGGCCTGACCAGCGTGTGTGTCTTGCCTTCCTCCTGCTAGGCACCATGGTACTGACTGTCCTCTTTGCTTTCCTGCCATCTAGGCCGATACAAAGCAGGGGAAAAGGAGACAGATCCCAAGACATGGAAGGCCAACTTCCGCTGTGCCATGAACTCATTACCAGACATCGAGGAGGTGAAGGGCCAGAGCAGGAACAAGGGCAACTCAGCTGTACGGGTGTACCGGATGCTCCCACCCCTCACCAAGAACCAGAGGAAAGGTATCCAGGGGCTCCGGGTCTACAGGGAGCCCTCAGGGAGGGATGAAGGAGGAAGAGGGCCAGCGGGGGCTGACAGCCTGTTTGCCCCGCAGAGAGAAAGTCCAAGACAAGCCGAGATGCTAAGAGCAAGGCCAAGAGCAAGGTAAGCCTGGTTCTCAGCAGCTGGGCCTATGGTTCCCCTGTGGGTCAGGATGGGTCATGGAGGAAGTACCATAATAGGTCTGGGCCTAAGCAGCTTTCTCCCTCTGCAGTCGTGTGGGGATTCCAGCCCTGATACCTTCTCTGATGGGCTCAGCAGCTCCACCCTGCCGGACGACCACAGCAGCTACACAGCTCCCAGCTACTTAGGGCAGGACTTAGAGGTGGACCGGGCCCTCAGTCCAGGTGAGGTGTAGTAGGGCCTCTGGCATGGACCCTCAAGGCTGGTGGGGTGACTCTTTTTCTTGGGTTCAGGAGGCACTGTGGTGGTGGCGGGGTAGCCTGTTAGGATCGGCTTCAGGATGGGCTATGCTGGTGTCTTGCAAACTCAGAAAACACTCATCCCTGACTTGTGGCTTCTGTCCCCCAGAGCTGCCACCGTGTGTCGTTAGTAGCACTCTCCCGGACTGGCGCATCCCCGTGGATATTGTGCCTGACAGTACCAGTGACCTTTACAACTTCCAGGTGTCGCCCATGCCCTCAACCTCTGAAGGTTTGTGCTCCTGGTACCTGGCCTGCCTGTTTGACTTTGGGCCCTGAGAGGGGTTTCTTGAGTGGGGAAAGATGTTCAAACCTCCCCTGACACTGAGCATATCAGCTGGGCATTGCCCATCCCTACCCTCATGGGAATGAAGCAAGCCACAGGGGTACCCAGAAGCTTAGCGGACTTGGCCATGGTTTATTGGGACTACTGGCTCTCCCGCCTCCTCTGCAGTCCAGTCTGTGAGGATGAGGAAGGAAGTGAGGGAGTGGGAAGAGGTGTGGCTTCAGAGTTGGAAAGGCCAGTGTCCTGTTCTGTAATATCTACGGCAAACCAGATATCTGCTGGGAGGCCAGTGTATGTGCACACATGTGGAGGGGCTGGGGGCCCTAGTGGGACTGGAATTGCAAAGCCATTATGGCTGACAGCTGCCAATCTCTGCTCTTCCTCACACACAGCTGCAACAGATGAGGATGAGGAGGGGAAAATACCTGATGACATCATGAAGGTAAAACCCCTTCCTACCTGGCCACCCTTCTGAAGTGACTGTCTTTCATTGAGGAGAGAGCTTCCTGATTGGAAGACAGGAGCTGCTGCTGAGGATTGGCTGTGTGCATAGTCCCCACGTGTCATGTTCATGTGGCTGGGAACCACTGCCTCCCTTGGCTGGTGGGAAAGATATCATGGTCTCTGACAGGCTGTCCTGAAGCCAGCCTTGGGGCCACAGACAAACTCTGAGTCAGCCAGCACCAGCACTGGGTCCCTGGCTAGTGTCCGCTGCCCCAACATGCCCCAGTCCTGCTAGTTCGGGAAATGCACATCAGGTTTTAATAATTGGCCTTTGAAATCTGTAATTCAGCAGCATTTTGTTTTTCTATTTTTTAAAAAAGGAAATTATCTTGCAGTTTCTTTCTTTTTCTGTTTTTAGTTTTATAAGTGAATATAAAGCAAAAAAGTTTTTGCCTGGCTCATTTCCATCAACACAGAAAACCAAGACAAGGGAATATTCTTTTATCTCTGGCTTTTGAGTCATCTTTTCTTGTTTGACTCTGCTAGCCAGTGCTTCATGCCACATTCCCAGTTGGTGTGTTCTGACACAGTTGAAATGCCTTGTGTTTCTGCCCCCACATCCCAGGCCCTAGTCCTAACTGCTCTTCAGTTCTGCATCTATCTGAGCATGTGAACATGGCTGAGAGTGTGATCTTGACTGAGAAGCTTTGGCTAAGGCGGGCACAGCTAGTGCAGGGTGAGTGTGCTGATGATGGCATCTTGCTCTTCTGTCCCCAGCTCTTGGAGCAGTCGGAATGGCAGCCAACAAGTGTGGATGGGAAGGGGTACCTGCTCAACGAGCCTGGGGTCCAGCCCACCTCTGTCTATGGAGACTTAAGCTGCAAGGAGCCTGAAGTTGACAGTGCCGGGGGTAAGAAGTCCCGGATCCTTATGGCTGCTTGGAGAGCAATGCGAGGGTGGGGATGGCATGGGGACAGGGCCAGGGAGTAGCAGAGGCCAAGCCTCCTCCTTGATAAAACTCATCTGGGGTGCAGACAACTTGAGAATTCACTATTGCTTCCCTGCCCTTAAGGTTAGCCTAAAGATGAGTGGATGCTTGCTGCGGTGGGGCAGACAGCAGACTCTGTGTCCATGTCCTTAGGGATTGGGCTGGGGTTGTGAGGCATACACCTTTAGTTCTTAACCCCCAACCTTCCTGACACTTACAGGGGATGTTGGGCTGAGCCTACACCGCGTCTTCACAGATCTGAAGACCATGGACTCTACCTGGTTGGACAGCCTGCTGCTCCCAGCCAGGCTACCCTCTATCCAGGCCATTCCGTGTGCACCATAAACAGCTGGCATCATGGTGGCTGTGGTACAGAGAAGCAGGACTCCTGTGGGCCCCATTGACACGACAAAGTGTGACTCCACTGCCTAGCAGAGATGGGTTCTCCCTCCTTGAGTCAGCAGGCCTCCTGCAGCCTGGGCTTGCCTTTTGGAGTAAAGCTGGACTTGTCTCCCAGGAAGATGGGGTTCTGAGATTTGTGTGTCAAGTGAAGGATTCACTCAACCAAGAGTCAACCTTTATTTAGCTTTTCCCTCTGAGCCCAGTTACCTACAGAGGGTTGAGCTGGCCTGAGAGCCAAGACCAGTGACCTCAAGAAGAGCATAGCGCCAGCCCTCGGGCTGGTTCTGCACTAAAAGACAATTGCACTAAGCGACTCCTGTTCCCAAAGACCTGCCTTACCCAGCATAACCTTGGGGACTGTTCCATAGTCAATGAAATGTGAAGGAAAAATGGAGTCCTTCAGGACCATGTTCCCTCAGCCTCAGAGAAGCTCTGCCCTGCTCTGTCCTCAGGCTGAGGGGCTTGGGAAGAAACCATGGCACTTTTTTCTTGTGGAACTTGCCACATTTTTGCTCAGAGGTGTACACTAACGTTCTCCAGGCTCTTGGTCCACGCATTTATTTATATAGTGCCTTGCCCAGCACCCTCACCACAGCCCTCAGCAGGCCCAGGGAGGGAAGGGTGAGCACTTTGGTGTGACTTAAAATTGGAAACACCATCTAACCACTAAGTCATGTGTCAGCACATGTATGTGTATGTAAATATGTATATTTGTCTTTTTATAAAAAGTTTAATTGTGTACAAGGGGCGTGGCCTTTCATTTAGAGATAAAGGATCACTGAGTGCACTTTTTATGGAAACACATTCTGAAGGCATCATCCTTGCAGTGAGCTGTGGCATGCACCTGTCGCAGAATTCTTTCAGATATGTTCGTAGAGAAAATGGCAGGTGAAGGAGACAATCACGGAACAGGGACGTGCTCATGTAAACACAATTACTTGGTATTGACCATCTAGTCATGTCTGAATTGAACTTGGCGAGGTGTAGTGTTAAGGTTTTGAGATCTGAGGAAGGTACATAGACTGTATGCTGAACTCTAATGCATTTACTGAATTTCTGCTACTCCCAAACATTTAGCAATTGGTACATGGAAAATCAGAACAGATGCCAGGCCAGAAAAGGTCCTCAAAGTTGGCAGTGCCAGGCACTACTTGCTGATTTCCAATGTCTGCATTAAAGGAAATGTTCTGTGTCTGTGCTGCCCAATATGGTAGTCACAGGCCACATGTGGCAAGTATGCAACTTCAATGAAAAAACTTGCCCAGTCAAAGTAAATTATTTTTATTGTTGTTGTTCATTGGGACCACTGTATATGTAACAACTCATGCCAACCTTATGCCCAACAAAAGGAACCACTGCCTGGCCCTGCACCAACCTCACAATTGTTGCTAGGCTTGAGCCCATTGCTGCTGCCATTGTGCCAATCCATCTCATTAAGGGTCATCCTCTTTTTGGCTGACCCTCCACTTTTCCAAGCATTATATCCTTCTCTGGGGACTTGATCCTGCTGATGTATGTCTGAAGGATGAGAGATGAAGTCTGGCTATTCTGGCTTCCAAGTAATATTTTGGCTGGATTTTTTCCAAGACAGTTTTGTTTGTTCTTCTGGCAGTCCATGGTACTTTTAATATTTTTTCTAATACCATAAATCAGATGCATCTTTTCTTCTATGGTTTTATTCATTGTCCAACTTTCACATGCATAAGAGGCTACTGAAAATACCATAGCTTGAGTCAGGTTCACTTTTGTCCTCTGACTGACATCTTTGCTCTTCACCACTTTAAAGAGAGCTTGTGCAGCAGAATGGCCTAATGCAATGTGTTGGTTGATTTCTTGACTGCTGCCTCTAAGAGTGTTGATGATTGATCAGAGCAAAATGAAGTCTTTGACAACTTCAATATTTTCTATATTTACGTGGCTATTGCTTATTGGTCCAGTGTTTTTTTACATTGAGGTGCAACCCATGTCAAAGGCTGTGGTCTTTGATCTTCATCAATATTTTAAGTCCTCTTCACTTCCAGAAAGCAAGGTTGTATCGTCTACATATCACAGGTTGTCAAAGAGTCTTCCTCCAACCCTGATGCCATGTTTTTCTTCATATAATTCAGCTTCTTAGTACTACACGCACAGCACACAGATTGAATAAGTATGGTGAAAGAATACAACCCTGGTGTACACCTTCCTAATTTAAAACCATTCCTAATTTAAAAGTGTTCCTTTGTTCTGTTTGAACAACTGCTTCTTGGTCTATGTACAGGTTCCTCATGAGCTCAATTAAGTGTTCTGGAATACTCATTCTTTTCAATGTTGTCCGTAGCTTGTCATGATCCACACAGTTAAAAGCCTTTGCATAGTCACTAAAGCAAAGGTAAATATCTTTCTGGTACTATCTGCTTTCAGCCAAAATCCATCTGACATCAGCAATATCCCTTGTTGTGCATCCTCCCCTGAATTTGGCTTGAACCTCTGGCAGATCCCCGTCAGTGTATTGTTGTAGCCATTTAAAAATTATCTTTAGCAAAATTTTACTTGCATGCAATATTAATGAAATATATGATGATTTCTGTATTCTGTTGGGTCACCTCTCTTTAGAATGGGCACAAATACGGATCTCGTCCAATCAGTTGGCCAGGTAACTGTCTTCCAAATTTTCTTGGCATAGATGAATGAGTGCTTCCAGTGCAGTATTAGTTTGGTGGAAGATTTCAATTTGTATTCCGTCAGTCCTTGTTCTTTGCCAATGCCTTCATTACACCTTGGACTTCCTTCAGTATCATTGGCTCTTGATCATATGCTACCTCTTCAAATGGTTGAATATCAACCATTTCTTTTTGCTACAGTGACTCTGTGAACGCCTTTCGTATTTTTTTTATGCTTTCTGCATCATTCAATACTGTAAGTTGAGACTTGAATTTTTTCTTCAGTGCCCTCACCCTTGAGAAACGCTGAGCATGTTCTTCACTTTTGGCTTTCTAATTCCATATCTTTGCACATTTCATTATAATATTTGACTTTGTCTTCTCAAGCTGCCCTTTGAAATTTTCTATTCAGCTCTTTTAAGTCCTCATTTTCTCCATTTGTTTTAGCATCACTACACTAGAGAGGAAATTTCAGAATTTTTTCTGACATCCATTTTAGTCTTTTCTTTCTTCTTTGCCTTCCTTAATGACCTTTTGCTTTCTTCCTGTATGATGGTCTCTTCTGGCCTTCAGATATTAGTGTTTAAACATCAAATCTGGTCGGGAGATGATCTCTAAATTCATGTGGGATATGTTCAAGGTCATATTTAGGCTCTCTTGTTTTAATTTTCTTCAGCTTCAGCCTGAACTTGCATATGAACAATTGATAGTCTGTTCCACAGTCTGCCCCTGGCCTTATTTTGACTGATGATAATGGAGCTTTCCCACTGCCTGTTTCCACAGATGTAGTCAATTTGGTTTCTATGTATTCCATCTGGTGTAGAGTCTTCTTTTATGTTGTTTAAAAAAAAGGTATTTGCAATGAAGAAGTCATTGGTCTTGCAAAATTCTATCATGCGATCTCCAGCATTCTTTCTAGCACCAAGGCTGTATTTCCCAATCACTGATCCTTCCTCTTTATTTCCAATCTTTGCATTCCAATCACCAGTAATTATCAATGAATCTTGATTGCAGATTTGATGACTTTCAGACTGAAGAAGTTGGTAGAATTCTTCAATTTTCTCATTACTGGCTTCAGTGGTTGATGTGTAAATTTGATTAATAGTTGCATTAACTAGTCTTCCTTGCTGTTGTTAAGTGCTGGTCGAGTTGGCTCTGAATCATAGAGACCCTGTGTAGATCTTCCTTGTAGGCGAATGGGTATTATCCTGTCACAGACAGCATTGTACTTGACGATCTTCGATAAATCTTGAAATGTTCTTTTTGCTGATGAACGTGATGCATTCCTCTTCATAGTAAACCATGTGGTTGTCAGATTTGAAATGACTAATACCAGTCCATTTCAGCTCACTAATACCTAAGTTATCAATCTTAATGCATTCATTTCATTTTTGACAAGTTCCAATTTTCCTAGATTCACACTTTGTACATTCTATTTTCAGATTATTAATGGATGTTTACAGCTGTTTCTCCTTATTTTGAGTTGTGCCCCATCACCAAATGAAGGTTCCAAAAGTTTTAGTCTGTTTGTGTCACCTCTACTTTGAGGAGGCAGCCCTTCCCCAGTCGTATTTTGAGTGCCTTCCAACCTGAGGGGCTCATATTCCGGCACTCTTAGCTGACAATATTCTGGTACTCTTCATGTTTCAATGTTCAATATTCTGATGGTGACAGTGTTCCACTACTATTCATAAGGTTTTCAGTGACTAAATATTCAGAAGTAGTCTGTCTCTCCTCTGAGTCTGTCTTTAGCTGTAAGCTCAGCTGAAACCTTCCCACTATGGGTGACCCTGCTGGTATTTAAAATACCAGTGGCATAGCTTCCAAAATTACTGCAACATGCATGCCACCACAGTTTGGCAAACTGACAGACGAGTGGTGGATTTTTATTATAATGTTACTTAAATGTATAAAAAAATATAACCTAGAGTTATACAATCCTTTTATTTATAGTTCTTATACAACTAAAATATCAAAGCATATTTAGAAATTATATTAATGCAGTGACACTGTAGTATAAGTACTGGACTGTTAACAACAGGTTGGCAGTTTCAACTCATCAGCTGATCCTCAGAAGCCCCTATATACAAGGTCTCTGAGTCAAAACCGACTTGATGGCACTTCACATTTTATTTACTAAACCAAAACCAAATACTATTCATATTAATAACAGTAACAAACGATGCTGCCTTACTGAAATGGACTCATCCTTTGCAAGGTATTTCCTGCCAAAGTTTAGCGTCTTTTGAGTTCATCATGCCTGTACCACCAGCTACTGGGACAGTATAGTCCTATGTCATTTGG